CCTAATATGTATGTAGTACTCGTAGTTGGTTGATTGCCGTACTGAGCAGGGATGAAAAAGTACCTACTTTTTCCGACGTTTGATGACTTAAAGGTACATTAGGTACAGTCAGTAGATTTTAGGTACAATTATTATTATTGACCTATATTCGCTTTTTGATTTCTGGAAATATATTTAAAATGCTTTCGAAGTTACTTACGGCAATTAGATTATTTTCTCTAGACTTGTTGCACCTATTAAAAGGAATCGCATAAATTAGCATGTCGGCCGCTGTGGTGTAGTGGTAAGCAGTGCGTGCTTCCACTCCGCAGCACCAGGGTTCAAACCCTGGTCCAAGAAATATCGCAAAAATATAGAAAAAAGGTTTTTTCTTAACAGCGATCGTCCCTCGGCAGGCAATGGCAAACCTCCGAGTGTATTTCTATTCTTCTCATAAAAATATAATCGCCGTTCGGAGTCGGCGTAAAACTGTAGGTCCCTCCGCTTTGTGTGACAACATCAAGGCGCACGCCACAAATCGGAGGAAAAGCTCGGCCAAACACTAACATATGTGTAAGCGCCAATCTATTATTATTATTATAAATTAGCAGACTTTTCGTGTTGTTGCTGGATAAAGAAGTATACTTCGCAAAGTGTGTTTTTTGTCTTATTCGGCAATGTTTCTCAGTAGTCATAATTAGACAAAAACAACGCTTCTCCGATTCCCATTAAACTATAATCTATGGATATAGGCTCAGTTAAAAAAAAAAAACCGAATCATGTTTAAAGTACATCCATCCTTTGTATTCATGTTTTAAATAAAATTTATAAAAAAACTACAAATGAGTGAGTAACTTTTTTTAGGTACAATCTGTCTCATTTAGGTACATTTATTTTATATTAGGTACAATCTGAAATTTAAATTTTTCATCCCTGGTACTGAGCGCCATACCTACATACATAAGAGCGTTGAGCATTGCACTTGACAGCTTGTTTTTTTTTCTAACCGGTATGTGTTGTTGGCCGCTGTAGCCAAGGAGTGATCGTGTGCTCGTTCTCTGCCCATGCCTGGCTATACATGACCCAACTAACCAGATCACCCAGCACGGCAACCGTGTATTTGAAATTGCATTTGAGAAAAAAAGAATAGTTGATGACGTCATTTTCTAATCGGTTCTTTCATTCACACACAGGTTTCACGTCACTGCAAAAAAATATCTTTTTTCTCGCACGCCGTCCTGGGGGATCTTTATTCGTTCGTTCATGCTGGCTATATACATTTTTTTTCTAATTTTTATTTTTTTTTAACGAAAGTGTATAGTTCATATTTTATAACACAAAAACATCGTTCGTGAAGATTAAGTGTTTTGGCTAAAATTCGTCTTTAAGTGCACAATGGTAAAATAGAGTTATATTCAGTGTCCCACCAGTCACATTCATTCAAATGACAGTCAGGGCTACCGTTTTGGTAGAATTCTACCAAAATTGGAAATTGTTACCTTCACAAATTTGAGTTGGTAACTTTTTGGTAAGTTTTTTAACTTTTGTTGAACATTTTCAAATATCTTTAGAAATGAAATTACATTTGCTATTATTTGCCGTTATCAGGTTCCCTTTTTATTACAACGCTTTTATCAACTTGCAATGTTGTGTTCCAGAAACTTTCAATGTTGTGTTCCAGAAACTTTCAATGTTGTGTGTCCGACACCATAAAGCAAAGCTTTGAAAAGCTCCTATAAAAAAGCATAGTGAATAGGGCGAGGTAGATGACATCTAGATGTCGCCCTATGTACTACGATTGCTACACCGGAAATAGACGACACGCCATTTCTTTAAATAAAATTAATTGGTGCTCGTTTGTATGTACATACATATGTAAATGCATGTGTGTGCACCTTTCTATTAATATCGTTGAATTATTTTAATATCTATTGCAAACTTTTATTCAGACAGGACTAAAAAGTAGAAAATAAATAATACAAAAAAAACTTTTTAATATACAACGCTTTTATAAATGGACTAAAAAGTAGAATAAATAATATAAAAAAAACTTTTTAATATACATACAACGCTTTTATAAATGGACTAAAAAGTAGAAAATAATACTTCTCAGTCCCATAGAATTTGTTTTGATAACTTTTGATTTTGAAATTTTAGCAAAAGTCATTATAAACAATCTATGAAATTGAAAATGAAAAACGTGGAGCGCATGCAATACAAAGCATTCGATTTAATTGACAATAGTCAAACTACATAACGTAGACCTAAAATTTCTACAGCGAAAGTAGAACTTTGAAATCGATTTTAAGCGGTCGTTATTCATATACCCACATACATACATTCATATATTACTTTTCATATCAATTCAAGTGTATTACATGCGCCCCACGCTTTTCATTTTCAATTTCATAGATTGTTTATAATGACTTTTGCTAAAATTTCAAAATCAAAAGTTATCAAAACAAATTCTATGGGACTGAGAAGTATTATTTTCTACTTTTTAGTCCATTTATAAAAGCGTTGTATATTAAAAAGTTTTTTTTTATATTTACTCTTCAATTTAAATTGGAATTGTGAATGAGAATTTCAATTAAGTTATAGCTACTAGATGGTAAGGTTGACACTACACAAGCATTTGTTTCTAATCATAAACATATGAATGTAAAAACATGTGCATCAAATATATTAAATACATGTTAATGAAATGATCTCAATTCTAGGTATTTTGTTTCTTTTTTATTGTTATTCACTATTTTTTTTTCATTTGTATTAAAATGATTAAAAATTAAGCTTTCTTTATGTTTTTAAATTTTGGGTAAGCTTTGGTAACTTTGGGAAAATTTTGGTTACTTTTGGTACTTTGGTAACTATTTTTAGTGTACTGTAAAAATCTTGGCAAGGAAAATAATTATAAAGCGGCAGCCCTGATGACAGTTACATAAAATGAAGAAATCTTTTGGTATTTATGTTAAAGCAATTTTATGCATTAGTTATCGTTCTATGTTAAAAAAATCTTTCGCTGTAGTGTAAGTTCCGATGACATAGTTATAATTCACAATTGATCACATTCTGGAGTAAAATGTCCCACCAGTCATAATGGAATGGCCCTAATACAAAATTATATGAATTATTAAAATACGAAGGAGTGTAAATCTTTAGTTTGAACATTTGGAATGTTTGAAGAAGGTTGCCACGTGTTTAAAAAGTTATAGCATTATTCATAAAAAATAAAGTAGCTTTAAAAAAGTTTTATAAATTGAAAAATGTATGAAAAGTCAATTTATAAAGCTTTTAAAACCTACTTTATTTTTTATGAATAAGGCCTGACATTAAAATTATTCAATAAGTTGGGTTTGAAAAGGCTTTATTTCTGAAATATGTTTACAAATACCAAATGAGAGGTGAAATTAAAGTTTTATTTTTAATTAAGAACTTCTTTATCAGTACAGAGTGATTTGAAATTTGATGAAGTTAAAAATACCCCTCTTCACTCAGAAATGGCTGAACGGATTTAAATGAAATATGGCACTCGGATCGCTTATAACTGACAAACATTTCGGTTATTGTTTAGGTTTTTAAAATAAAATTTTGGGCGGTTTAACGTCGTGCGGGATCACTAGTGTATTATTAAAACACTTGAGTGTACAAAGTTTTATTAAAATCGGTAGAATTTTTCTATATATGTGCATTTTATAGCGGTGTGTTATATGGGAGGTGGGCCTGGCAGTGGACCAACTTTAAACATTTTTAGGTATGTTAAAGATATCCTCAAGTCTTGCACAAATATTATATTTTCTTGCAATGCTACTAAATTTAGTATACAAAACAGATGTCTTAGTTTCCAGTTCTACAAGTATGCGAGATGTTCTTCATACAATTTTGCAAAAATTTTTAATTTTTCTTCATATGTACCTGTGTACAAACCTTCAGTGGAAAATTTCATTGATCTTGGGACGTTACACTATGAGACGTTGACAGCGAATGAAAACCTATTCACGAGCGAATAGGAAAGCCAAAAATGCCATAGTGTATATGTAAGTATATATCTACATATGTATTTTACTCACCCCGTTTTGATAGGATCTTCGCCACTGTGCCGTTTTGTGTGAATCGTTCCCTTCTCTACAATTAAATCTTGAATACGTGAGTCATTAATGCCTCCAACTGCTTGACCTGCGAATGTGTAGATATATAAAAAGGAACAATCTTTAGTGCTTGTAAAAATCGGATAAAGAAAGAATTTTAATAGACTTAATGTCCCTATAGGCGACAATACAAAGTTTGCCTCATTAGCAAAAACTCGGATGACAGGTCGAATTTAAGAGTTGAATCGGTAATTACACTGGTTTACAGCAAAAGTGTTTCATGGATGCGACTATCCAAATCCTATTTAGAATTCCTCGCTGATTACCAAAATCGAGTTAACGTTTTTTTCTATGGATAAGTTTTCGAGATATTTGCAATTTACCGCTATTCAGCTAAAAAAGGGTTCCACTTAATTACGTATATCTTACGAAACAATTGAACGACGTTAATAAGGATATGGCAAATGAAATCTAACCAAATTCTCCATAAACCGTGTACATTTCTTTCCGATGGGGTTGAAAAAATTAAATCAATTTGAAACTTTAATAGGGGAAAAATAAAAATGGCGAATTTTTAATCAATTTTTCATACAGAAGTCTGGTTCTTTACAAAAAAAAATTAAGCTACCAATGAAGAAAATCGATGGGTAAATTAAGAAGGAATGAGAGATCAAATTAAAATGGACAAAGATTTTTTGTATCAAAAATGAGCATGGGTACATGGCGTATGAGCAACTCAATCCTTTTTAATTTATCCATCGATTTTCTTGGCAAAAAAATCGTTATTTTTTCATTTTTCGCCTGCTAGTTTGAATTATTTTTTAAATTTTTTCATCAAAAACACAAAAAATTTGGAATGATTAATTTTTTTCTCAAAAGCTATCAGATCCATCGAAAAGTCATGTATATTAGGGCGGGTCGAAAATTTAATGTTTCTTAAATCCTGTGGTAATAGTGAAATTATATTGTATGATGAGGTCAACAACAAGCCTGTAAAATATTAATCGTTTATTTTAATTACTAGAGCCCGCGCATCGACCCCCAAGTGACACAAAGTACACTGGTCGAATAAGACGGAATCTTGTTGAAGATTCAGGGTTCAGCAAAAAGTTTTGGTGGATGTTATTAGATAATGAATCTGCAAAGGCAAACGACAAATTCAAATATCATCTCTGGCAGTCCTTTAATTTAAGGTTACTCTCAAACTTATCTGTTTTTCAACCAAATTGAAATTGTTGTGTTGATAATTGCACTGGTCTTTAGTCAGAAGATGTAAAGAACAGCATTCATACTTCTGGGGTGTATTTAGGTCGCTGGTTCCAAATATACTAATCAGTTTTTCATATTAGCTATACTTTGCGAATTTTTGCAAATTTGGGAACAATTTGGGGAGCTATAATAAGAAAACCTTTATTTTCTATCACCGTGAAAAAATTTAATTTATGCAAACGAATATGGAAACACTGAACTAGCACAAATTGGACAAACACTAGTTAGTTTACTTATTATTATACATACCATACAAAAATTGTAATTAAAAGAAGTTCACCGGGCTTTTTGTTTAGCATTTTTATTCTTTTTGAATAATTTTGTTTAATCTGAGTGATTTTTATCATATTATTATCATGAATCAGTACAAGCAAGTCTCGGCTTCAGTTTGGTAGTTATTACATACCGATCGAGTAATATTTGTGAAGGTTATGTCGAAAAAAGGGATGCATCTCTGTCTTTTATCGACAAAAAATTCTCTTAATTCTTACGGTCTCTTTGACATAATGGAATTAACCAAAATATCTACATATATCTTAATACTTATTGCACGCCCCTACTTTCGTATAACGGTAAATTTAGAAACCGCGAAAAATGTGCTTCTTTGGTGACTAATGAAACCATTCCGCTCCAATTTTCAATAACACATAAATGGACTTAAAATGGGCGTTGCTCACCTACATTTTATTTAGTTAACATATGTACTAATCAAATGATTCCTAATATTGCACATCCGTAATTAATTTCACTTACCACTATGTTGAAAACTGACCAAATTGGCGTGACCAAGTCCATGGTCCTTTAAATATTATATAATCATTAGAAAACCTAAAAATCTTTGAAATAAATCTCGTCCAATTTTTTCATTTTCACTTGTTTACTAAAGTAATGAAGAATTGAAAAGTCATACGGGAAAGTATTGCTTTTATAAATTTTTCTAAATATCTCGAAAACTTGTAGTCTTATTGAAAAATGATGTATAAACGTGAGATACTAAATTTAATAACGTTTCAGTTGATATATCGTCTAGTGTATAACAATTAACGCATTTATGGAGAATTTTGTTAGCTTTCTGGCTGTTCAATTGATTAAGGGCCAGTTTTTCAGTGAGACTTTAGCTCTGTTTGTCGTTTAAACTAAGTTTAAACTCAGTGCGCAGTTTTTCGGTCAAATTTAACGTAGTTTAAACTAAGTTTAAACGTCCTATCAGGCAGGGTTAAACCGAGTTTAAACCATCAGCCGTTGAGTTGTATATTTGTAGTCAGCTGCCCAAATTTAATTCAGCACAATCAGTTGCCAGCGAATATTCCACGGATAAAACAAAATGAAGCTTCACCGAAACGTAAGTGAGAAGAGCAGGAGCATTAATACCCATTATTATTAGTTAAACTATATATGTGACCAATTCCATCTCAAATCATGCAAGACGACTGCACCTATCTCCCCGAATCATTTCATATTTTAATATCGGCTAAATTAATATTCACGCACGCTGCCATTTTGCTGTCAAAAATTTCTCATGCACGTACAACTTGTATGGGACCAACCGAAATTGAACGGCTAGCGTATGAAGCGTTCAAGTGTTCATATTGGGGTATTTAAGAAACTCACAGTTTAATTTGACATTTTTTGTTTACTTTTTCTTATTCTCATTTAGTCTGTGCCCGTACAACAGGATTTAACACACACACATATATTAGTCTTAGGGCTGTGCGATTATTCGATTACTCGAGCAAGTTGGTTAAACAATTATTCGGTTAATCAATTACTCGAGTAATCAAGATTTTGATTACTCAAAACGATGATTAATCGAGTTACTTGAAATATGATTACTCAAAAAAAATAATTTTGCTCGTTAACAGAGTTTGCTTTGGAAAATGCTTATTTTCTTTTTTACATTCTGTATATGAAAAAAATTGTTTGCTTTCATTTTTGAAAACAGAAACGTTGTTTTCAAAGTATCAAGGAACTTTAACTACTTTATACATATGTAAAGAGTTGAAATGTTGATTACTCATTTTACTCGAAATGTTGATTAATCATAAAGCAAATTACTCAAATATTTTTGTTTTTGGTTAATCAAAAATCTTGATTACTCGAGTAACTGAACTTTTGAGTAATCATAATTTCCAATTAATCGAATAATTGAGTTATTTAATTTATGATTAATTAAAATTTTGAGTAATCAATTAATCGCACAGCCCTAATTAGTCTAGAATACCAACCGTTTAGCTATAAAAAACAAGAAACGAAGATCGATAGAACTTTTTACGCTGATTTCAACCATATCAAAATTATTTGGTACAAATAAAAACCAAAGCCAATAAAAGAGGTTAAAGTTCAACTTTTCTATTTCTTATGTGTTTAATATCTCGGAAACTACTTAATCAATTAAAAAATTATTGATGCTTATTTCAACATAAATAAAATATTATTATGCGACGTATATACTATAACCAGTTTTGAAACGAATTTTATATAAAAGCCATTTAAAAAAACATATTTATATTTTTTTGTGTTTTTTAGTATTTCCGGACTAGAAATATAAAAAGCATATAAGTTATACACGTACATGAAAGACAAATTTATTACCTATATTCTGACTTCATTAGTTGTTTAAAAGGTTATGTTGTTCAGAAGATATTAATATCTAAAAAAATCAAAAAATTTAACTTTAACCATCGATATCTTCTTTATATTTTACTTCTGCTAGATAATTTTTGTAGTGTAGCATAAAAAGTTCTATCGAGCCACATTTTTGTTTTTTCATAGTTAGATTCTTGATATGCTGGACTTATGTGCACGGAGCGACCTCGGACTATTTTTGATAAAATCCTGCGGTACGGGAACAGACTAACTGTCGGTAGGTTGGTTGCAGGTTTGGATTATCAAAGACACAAACCTAATCGGGTCAAAAAAGGGTTGCATTCGCATAAACTCCAAAAAAAGTGGTATTTAAGGAGCGTTAAACGATATTTTTTGTATGGTAATTTCCGAGTTTAAGAGTAGAGTTAAGGCTTAAACTCCAAAATGGCCCATAAACACGAGTTAGTGGCTCAATGTGAATGCCTTATTAAACTCCAAACCATAAACTTAAGTTAATGGCTCAATGAGAACGCTATATAACTCAATTTCCCATTTTTGTTCTGCGTGACATTTTGATGCGACGATTCACTCAATGAAATCAAATGCAAACGCACGCAGGCCAATTTTGGATGACGCAAAAAAAAAATTCGACGGCGTGCGTACCAAAACCCCTGTATGTTACTCTGCTCGGAAATTAGAGCGAAAACAACATTTGCGTGTATTTTGTTGTTGCTTCTGGTATCGAAAATGTCAAAACCTGTTCTGATTTTTTTCTTCTAAATCAAAGCCTGCCATGTAAAATACAAAAAAATAAAAAATTTAAATTGCAAAAAGATAAAAATTGTTTGCTTCTCGAAGCATTGATCCATCCTTTGCAATGCCCAGTAATCAGCGGTTGTGCTGTTCAGTTGGGTGAACGCTCCAAAAGCTGCTATTCAATCGCTTATTGTGTATGGAAAAAGGTTTCACATGCAAGAAAATTCTAACAATTTAGATTTTTTGTGAGAATAAAAATAAATATATTTGACATTTTCGAGGCCAAATAATTTGAAGGAAAATCAAATCAGCTGCTCCACTGATACTACCTGTTCAATGTGCCTTGGCGAATACGTATTCTTTTAACCGGATTCCAAAAAAGGAGGAGGTTATCAGTTCGTCGGAATCTATATATGGGTGTTTCCATGAAAATGTCAACCAGGACTGAAAAAATAAAAACAACTGAAAAGGGGTTTT